CCTTCAGGGATGGCGATTAATACTGAACCAGCACATCCCCTATCCGTGAAGTCAACAAAAAACTCTTCGTACAGGTCACTTGTTAATTTGTCTGCAGGCACTTACCTAGATGGCTATGACACCAAAATGAACGAGTCTGTGCGATGCGCTGTTCTTTTATAGCCTGAGTCTCGCTCGCTTGTCCCATTACCAACATGTTCTATGTGTTTACATGCGTTTTGAGGTCCTATGCTCATGTGTATGCTTAGCTTAGGTTGGCTGCAGTCGCAACCTCGGTTACGACTTGCATGATTCTACTTACGTACAACTTAACCAACTTACATCTAACTAATTACTATGTTTGTTCAAATGTCTACTCACTAAGCACTCAGGTACCAAATCGCGTGATTCGATCACCGTTAGGTATGTGAATGCTTGTGTACTGTGTTTGCATGTGCTTTGTGTGTTTTCACATGTGTGATTGTGTCTTTGCATATTTTGTGAATGCAGTTTATGCATTATCGTATTTTCTTATTATTCTTTTTTACCTAAGTTCAATTCTGCTTGTTTTGTTTACCCTAACGGTGCTACACATTCTGCGCATTTTTACACATAGAGATTTTTGCTGAAGTTTGTTTTGTATGCATAGATTTTCTACCTAAGTTCCATTCTGCTTGTTTTGTTTACCCTAACGGTGTTACACATTCTGCGCATTTTTACACATAGAGATTCTTGCTGAAGTTGTTTCGCATGCATGGATTTTCTACCTAAGTTCAATTCTGCTTGTTACACATTTTGGGATTTTACTTGTATTTATACCTTGAGTTTTTATTTAGCCTTTGATATAATTAAACGAATATCATGAATCCCTCTAAATGGAAAGGATGGACGAAATAAGCATTTCCATAGATAGGCTGATAATTAATATAAAAAAATTGGGTAAACAACCCTGCGCGCAAGAAACGACAGACAGCAAACTAGAAGAAATAGAAGGTTGTAAAGGGAGTTAAAACATAATTATAATAAAAGAAGAAACAAAAACAACAGATACGCACGAATTACTGAAAGTTTACAAACGACCCAGGAGTACCTAAAGAAAAAAATTAATGCACCAAGCGTTCATTAATATAAAAATAGAGCAACGATATTTTTTCTCTGCTTCGACCATGATGCCCGTTTGTGATTTGTCCCCTTCAATCGCCGTCGGCCACACTGTAAGGGAGTGTTAGAAAAAGAATAGGAGAGTGAAAAGAAGCGATATCACCCCGGGTGAGAGCGGTTACCGCTGACAGGGGATATATCTATTGAGTATAAAATTAGTCATTGTTATATTACGCGAATACATTCGGCATACTACGTCAACCAAGGAGAGTGTTTCAATTGCGCTACAGTAAGTTTTTTCTTAGACACATTTCTGATAAAGTGGAGCATGGCGACGTCTGAGCGGACTCGCACAATGCAAAGCATTAAAAAACCGCGTGACAAAGTGCAGGATATTCGTCGTGTTTGTGGTAGCTTTACGCGTAATTTCGCATCATTGTCCACGGCCCTGATTGCAATGTTGAAGAAGAAGATAACGTTCGAATACCCAGAGGAAGCAAAACTGAAAGAACAATTATGTTCTGATCCGTTATTACGCAATACAGAGAAGGAATATTCTAAATATATCTGGTAGCAATAATTTTTCTACCCTTCAATAAAGAAAAAACAATATCAATATCTCTACATTAACTTAAAGGGGACATATTAAATAATTTAATCCTTTTGTATCTCGGTATAAAATAAGAAGGCTATTTTAATTTTAATGTTAATATATCGAATGGTCAACTCACAACCTCACAAATGGTGCCCGAGCAGCAGCCCGAGAAAAGGATTGATATAAAAAAGTAGAACAAAAAAAACGAATCAAGAAATCAAATCTGAATAGCTAAAAGTTTAGATAACACTGCTTACAAAGTGCTTTAAAAATTTTATAGTTTAAGTCATATTGAAGATCAGTATATATAAATAAAAATGACTTAAATTCATATATGTGAAGTTGTGCATAAAGAAAGATACACACATACATAACACAGTTCACAAATTGTATTGTTTAACTACCAAGAAGGATCAAAGCCAAGCTTTAGATTGCGAGGAACAAAGTAATAAATCCATTTTGATCTCCCACTCTTTTTGTATGTGTTTTTGCATCTTATGCAAGAAGGATGGAGTAACCTAGAATTTGATAAAAGGGCAGGTATTCGCAATAGGAATAAAGAAAATTGCTACACTCACAAGTTAAACAGTAAAACTAATTAAAAATACATACATTGATAAGTTTAATTAGTGTAACAGATAACTATTTGAAAATACAAACATATATTTGTGCTATCAACAACGAAATTAAGACGTTTTCTTTATTTTCTGTGAAACATTATATGAGTAATAAGATGACAATTTGTCCTAACGGAACGAATTGCCAGTTATGGGTTTTCACTACTAACTTAAAGCACCAATTAGCACGTGAGTTCGAGTTCAAAATTGACACTCCCACGATCAATGAAGTTTGTGCTCAAACCATTGATTACCTATATATAATGTAGGAAAAGTGCCGGCTGGTCCTCAGGGTGTAGTTCGTGATGTTGGACAACTCTCACAAGTTGTACACGTTCAAGCAGCTACTAAGATCAATCTTGCTAGACGTCACAATGGAAAGTTTGTCAATATTGCCGACATCGAATATTGCAAACCGAGTTGAGAAAAGGTTTACTTGTACTACCTAAAATTTTAAATATGTACATGGAACAAATAGGCTTCTTCGAAGCCGACGGTCAAGTGTTTGTCCCCAAACTACCGTCACATTGCAACCGTGTTGCAATTGCAAACATGTTGCAACCTTTGTCACAAACGAAGGTGACAGTGAGATAGTTCTCCGTGCTAATGAGATGGCACTTGCTGGGCATGGATTGCTATGCACGCAATTAGTTATTTCCAAGCACAATGTGCTTGGTATGAAAAATTTATATCCCGATGTTCACGAAAGGCATGCAACATAATGCAAAATGTTGTATTTGGTAAAGACGAAGGCACAATTGCTCAATTTGTCGGTTCTCACTATGATGATCGTTTACATTAGCGAGAAGTTTGGTGTAGTGAATAGATCGACCAAAACACGTTAGAAATTGGTGGACTCTTTGGATACGGGTATATGTCAGAAGATGAAGATAAAAAAAATATACACCATGTCGTGCGAAAACAGGCCCAAAAGCTGAACGATTCATTTCGTGTTGGCTTTGTGATCGTTTTTGCCATGCAAAGTGTACCGTTATTACCGGCCGTGGTAACGACGGCCCAAGATCTCGTCGAAATTAGGAGTTAGGCTCCTCGTCTTTGTTGTCTTTACGGGTACTGCCACTATATGTCGGGCTACGCACTCACATGCATGCAAGGGTGGCTGAATGAGAAAAAGTGTAGGCACACCAACAAATATGTATACATTTATTTGAGTATTATGCATAAGGAGTCAATAATCTGTATATGTAGTGTAGTATACAAGTGAAAATTAATAAAGATGTATTTTGCACTCGTTGATCCTTCAAAAGGCTTACGATGGTCATGCCCTGACTGCAGGAAGCGGGATATAGATTTTATTTTTTGGAATTACCATTATCATTAGTCCGTGGAAAATAGCTAGGCTATTTTTTATAGGTACATATAAGTTAAGGACCATCTTAACAAAAAGTATAAATTCACGAACCACTCTAATAAAAAAATAAGCAAACGTAACTTTTCATAACACAAATGCGTCGTTTATTGTTATGTTTATTTAGTTTAGAATTCAGACTGAAGAGATCATATCTTTAAGCAGCGTCAAACAATAAAGCGTCGTTTAACCCTCGTAATCCATTAAGTACAATAATATGAATTTTTTCACACTCAATTGATTCGATTTTATTATTTTCGCCCATAAGAGACACACACTACAAACCAAAGAATCGCAAGTGCAAACGGGGCAAAGAACCTTAATTAGCTTTTATTAAATTGCATTAATGAACTCAGAGACTTTTGATATGATGCCCATTGATGAAACAGACTATTAAACAAAAGATAGACCGACCGCTTCATGAAGGCAGTTATTTTAATTATACTGAAATATTGATCAGATTGATGATAGCTCTGAAGTGTTGATCTTAAAGCAGAGCTGTTTTGTGTAGGTTGATGAAAGCTCTACAAAACAGTTTACAGGGTTTAAAAATGAACATTAAATAAAAAAAATAAATAAATAAAAGGCGAAGCTGACAACTTTTAGTCTGTCAGATTTAGTATGTGTAACTCTAATTTAAAATAATAATTTAAAAAAATTTAATATAATTATATAAGTAAACTGAACTGAATCGTTGTTTTATTTTTATTTTACTAATAATAAACAAGAGGTATATATTGATATACGACCAAATGTTGTTATTTCTTATTTGTCTGAGACAGAGAGTCTGTCTCGTGTTGATTGTCGTAGGCCTTGTAGGTTACAATGCAAGAGATTTGCTGACAGACTGACGGCAATAGCTGGCAAGTTGGTGACTGAGCACGTAGTTATGAGAAAAATAAGAACCAATAGACGTAGTTTGAGAAGGATGGGTAGAAGCGATAACGGCCGCTCAACATTAGTAGATTATATTTGGTACGCGAGAGAGTTGGAGTTGACGAGGGCGGTGGTAAATTTTCCGGATAAAATAGAGGACACAAATAGACGGACTGTGATTATCGAGGTGCAGTAATTGTTTTCGCCGCCCGAAGCCTATTGACGACTTTCAATATATTGCTGAGAGCCGAACCAACCACTGCTACTGAAGATTATGTGAATCAATTAGAAGGCAATCTCGTGGTTGCGGAGAAGATTGGCTTAGATGTTAGAGCTGTCGTCTGCGACAGAATGTCGGGAAACAAGTAAAGAACGAAAAAATTTTTTAAAGGCGTACCCAAACGGAAAAGAGCAGACGGCAACATTGACGAAATATTATTGTTGTATCCATGTATGTTATATACCTCTGTTGAATGCACTTAAATCTAAAACAAAAGATAACTCACAATGGGACTTCAACATACAAAAGAAACTTGCGAATAGGAAAGCGCCCACCTCTGGATTATGGACGCGGAAGAATGTAATTCAAACAGTCTCATCACCACGAAATGCCACCGAATTCTTACAATTCTGGAACGATATCACCTAAGCGTTACTCCAAGAAGCAATAACTACAGGTGTCTTCACCGACAGTACAGAAGATGCCGAACGCACCCTACAATTTTATAAAAATGCTTGGGAATATCGCCAACGTGTTCCGTCGCAGCTCAATATCGGTAGACAACCGGGAAAAGCTCCAAGGCAAACTCCAATCTGCCAGGCAATATCTGGAGGCCTAGTGACTGATACGACAATGACATTTCAAAATTTCACCCTAATCGTAAACGGGCTCATGGAGGCTTACTCTGGCATAGTTAGAGGGTAAGCCAAGACTTATTGGAACGCTTCTTTATTAAAGTGGCTGTGAGCCAAAGAAAACGAAGACATTCTGCAACTCTTGAACAGACTTAGACTTAAGCAAATATCAGAATAAGCGAGCGGATGTGCACCAAAAGAAGGCTATGATTTAATAAACAAATTGGATTATGAAATTAAAAAAGCGCCAGCAGAAGAGTATCGGCCATTCGAGCCAAACGTAGAGGTAATCCAGAATCTGATTGTAGGTCAGCTGAGCCACAAAATGTTGAAATGCCATTATTGTCTAACGTACCTAACCGAAGACAAATCCGATTTCTGCGTTGAAGTAAACGGGAAACAAGTGGCGAAGGACCAAAAAAACGAGCTACTTATCACCTCAGCATACTTGGACCCAGGTATTTTGATTGTTACTCGCTGCGATCGATGCCGATGATTTCGATGAGTGACGACTTACCTCCGATGCCTCGTTGCGCTGGCATTGGACGACGCACATGCCGCATCTCTCTGCAAGGAAGCATAAATTTATCAAACATTAAATATCTGACAAAGTAGACAAACATTTTGTACCAGCTTTAAAAGAATTAACTGCAGGAGCAAATAGACGACGAGGTGTACACGAACTAAAAGCAGAAACAGACGTAGAAACATCAGTAGAGAATGTTGAGGAAGATAGGACAATAATGGATACCAAGGGGGGAACAGAACAGGACGACAACACCATACGCACAAGGCCATGTAGCCCTGTATGTGCGTTAGACAATATCTTAAAAAGTATGCATAATGCAGATGGACCCAGCACTTCGGGAGAGGCGGCGCTGATACGACGAATCGAGTAGCTCAAAGCCAAAAATGCTGCATTGAAGGCAAATCGAGGCCAAGAAGTGGAAGCAGCAGCTGACAGCGGAGTGCCAGGAACTGAGACACTCAAAGACGTCGTGAGCGAATTGAGTCCTCACGAGAAAACAATGCATCTAGATCACTACTCATAAAGGTGACGCGCATGAACTAGAAGTCAATATCGGAGGAGATTGGCTTAGATGTAAGAGCTGTCGTCTGTGACAATACGGCAGGCAACAAGGAAAGAATGAGAAACTTTCCAATGGAGTGTACAGACGGAAATGAGCAGAAGGCAGCAGTCATGAGATATTATTGATGTACGACTACGGGTAAATGATGGGATTACGTTTAAAAAGTTGTAATAAAACTTAACTTAAAGAATTATTTTTAATGATAAAAAGGCACCGGTCTTTTTTAATAATAAAAAGGAAATTGACGGAAGACTTCCCCTTTGGCCTATTTAAATCCCTACTCTACAATAAAAATTTAGAATTTTCTCTATAAATAATAATATGAAAAAGGATTTGACAGAAGGCTTTTTACCCTTTTTGCCTATCATACTTTTTGAACATATATCCAGGGATGCCTAGCGGCAATGGTGGTCAACGTTGATCAACGGCGCTTGTCGAAACCTTATGGTGGAATCAAGCGCATTCCCCTTTTTTTGAGTTGATCAATTTGTGAGCCCTCACTGCTGGGTGCGGCCCTTCGGGGAGTACTCGTTGTGGCTGTGGTTTCACCGTTCCTTGCCAAAGTGAGCGTTGCGTCATCACTAACCTGAGTGGGATTATTTTTCCATACGCAATAAACTATCTGGACTCTGGTGCTGCTTAGGCCCCTACTCTATGGGGATTGTCTAACTCGCCAGGGGGCGTATATTACTCTTAAAGTGGCTTGGGGCACCGTGGGATGAAGCCTTCATGGCAGGAACCCACGTTAAACCCATGCTACAATGTGTACTACATCCACATATTGGATGCACTTAGAAAAAAGACATAGGAAAACAAGCTGTTGGACTTCACCATCCAAGCGAAACTATCGCAAGGAAACGGGCCCAGCTCTGGATTCTAGGCGCGGGGGGGCTGGTATTCCATCGAATTAGTAAAATTTTTGCAACAACACTACTCCAGCGGAATCGAAAAAAAGCAAAATTTTCATATACATGCGCCTAGAAATTTATCAACACAACGTCTGTTGGCATCTGTTTCGCTACCAGTGCCTCATTATAAATTATTCTTTAATAATTACTGCCTGCTAGTCTTGTAAATTTTTCGTTATTTTGTTGGTGCTCCCCGGGGCACTTTTAATAATGATAACATAGAAAAGAATTGCTTGATTTAAAGAAGAACTCGTATTGATTAGAAATGCCCATTGAAACTAATGTCACTCGGATGCCCCTCAGTTATTGGGGGCTAAACGCGACCAAATAAGTATAAAGCGGGCGATAGTTACATACGCATCTCCAGATAGATTCCTCCGAAACTATCTAAATCTTTCCAATCAACATGCAAAGCAAATAGCATTGAAAATTAGCAGAAATACTTTTGGATTGACTTAGCATCTCAGATTCACACCTTTTCATTAAGTAGTAATTGAACGTAGGATTGACACGCTGAGAGCTGATTGATAAGTTTGCTTGTAGCTAATAAAAAAAAAAAAGAATAAAAGAATATTGGTTTTTAATTTTTACTGCAACAGTTGGTCTATCTATGGTCTCCAAACTTTCTTCCTAAACTTGCAGTTTCTTTACACGTTTTGCTTGTACATTGTATGATAAATACTTAAAAAAACGATTGTAAACTTATATGAAAAACTTATATTATGAGACTTTCACTAACGTTATTAGAAATCTCAACATTTTCCTTCTTGCACATCGGGTATAAAAGTTATATTACGAGTCAAATTTTCTTTTTCTTATTTTACGTAAATCTTTGAAGCCATTTGTATGCCTATAATTCGCAAATGGCTTTTCTTTTTTTTTTTTTTTTTTGAATGTAACCGTTTCTGTTTTGTTGATGATGTAATATAAAAAATAATAGGTATTTTCCGTAGTATCAATTTTCAGATTAAAGTCGACGATACGTTAATCAAAACTATCAGTGGTTTGTAAATTGATGTTTTTTGGATCTTCACTTATGCTTCAAAAGTTTGTGACTTACCCCGTTTCTTTAGTAAGACTAATGTCAGCAATTTAGATCGTTCGCATTTAAGATCCTCACGTTGTTAAAGTGATTGGTGCAAGAAAGACGCTGATTATCTGCTCTACATGTTATTGTCACGTTTTCAACATTTTGTAGCTATTTGCAGGTTTTTTTCATTACAAAATAAATGGTATTATCTCCAAAGTAGAAGCACAGGTAAGTGCTTATTTCACGGGAACGGTGAGAAATATTTTTTTCAAACTATCGCCAGCGATATACCTTTCCGACAGTGTGGGAATAAGCGCAAACCATTTCATTGGCCATTCGGGCAAATTTTCAAAAGTTGCAGAGAAAAACGACTTGGGATGTCGATGCAAGCGAACAGTAGGTCCTCTCAAGTCAACTTTAATGGAGCAAGACATCTCAGGGAAGTGTATTTGACTTACCATTATCGAATTTTGGTACATATGTCGGTGCATTGTCCTGAAAACATCTTATATTACCCCGTGAATCCACATTCTGAAACTTTGTCTATCAATGCAATGTTCGTAACTCGTAAGACGATAGGTTTGATTTTCGTTGAATTTCTATTTTTCTACCGCAATATTTCGGCAATTTTTGACCTTTTTTATGTTGCCACTTGACATCGTTACACTTACAACCATTTATACTGTTTTTGCTTCGTGTACTAGCAAATGCTTGCAATCATTTCAGTTTTAGTTTTCACTTCTCTGCTTGCTGTTAAGGTCGCTTTTTCTCAATGTCAATTTTTCCCACGACATGTAAGTGCATATATTTGTATATAATTTAGTGAAGCTTATTTGCTTATTCCGCGTTCAATAGTTGCGTTTGCATGTCCTTTTCATCTCTTAGACGGTCTTTATTCATGACATAGGAAATGCCACACTAGTGTTTGAAATATGTCCATATAAACATTTACAAAAGGGCATCATATTAACGTACATAAAAAGCAATTCATTTTCAATGCCAGAAATCTGTATTACGTTGTTCTAAGACTAACGTTTGATTTTATATCCGACTTTGAAGCTAATGTTGACAGATGGGTAGCGCCATTCCTTTAAAAAATCAATAAGGACTTATCTGCATTTATGTTTGCAGTGATAATCACGATTTAACGCGTTTATAATCAAACATTTTCTCTGCAATGGCATCTACAGCACCGCACGAAAGTTACTTGTACTTATCGCTCTTAATGGCGACTCTATAATGCAAGGTACATGCTGTAAAAATCCATGAAAATTTTAGAATTGTGGCAATTAATTATTTTTTTTTTTTTACTTACCTAAAGTTGTTCCCTAATTGCAACTTTGATGCGATGTTTTCAGAAGCACTTTCAAGCATTTTAAGCACCCTGTAAAGTCAAAAACAATTTTATAAATGGAAATATAATAAAAATTCATGCCAACAAGCGGAAGGATGGTGCGTTAAATTTATAGTGCTTAAATATTCACAGGCTTTTTGGAGTGTGTACGTTTCGTGGATGAAATTACCGCTCTGGAGCGTTCTGCTCGTCTACTGTTGCGTTTCTTTCATACAAAATTAAAATAAGATATATAAAGGTGAAACATGCGTCAAGCAGTTTACCAGCCATAATCCACAACCAATAGTAGATTTTACAGTCAGTCATAGGTCACTGGCACTAGACTTTCCATAACACTGAGTAAACATGTTAATCTGAATAAAACAATCTTTTTTTAAAAAAATATTCTAAAAGTAAGTAGGTGAGCGATTAATCGAATTTACGCGTACTACTCTTAGAAGAAGTTTGGAACGATGTTTTCTGAAATGATTGTTATAATTAATTTGAATTTTTCCAATATTTTACTCTGGAGTCAATTTACACGCGATTTTATGTTCAGTTTTGTTGGTTCTTGTATACGAGCCAAGCCGAGCATTCACTCAACCAATAAGGGAGAAGTTGTCATCATACACTACACAACGTGTGGTAAAAGAGACCATCTGCTCTCAATATACATACAAAAAGGTTCTCAATAAAATGAGACTTAAAATTCATGCTATTTGGTGATGAAATTTTCACAACAAGCTTATCGCGGAAAGTTTCGATTGAAATACACCAAATTTTTTAGACCTCATCTTATTTTCTCATTAAAAATTAATTTTTATACATAAGCAAAATTGCTATTAAGCTATGTGATAGGTTTAAATCATTTCAAATTTTTGGAGTTTAAAACAGTTCAAAACAGTTTTAATAGACTTTAGCTTTTGTATTCTCGTTAACCAATAAGGAAAAAATTTATAACCTCAAAGCTTAGCGAACTTGAATTAAAGAATCAATAACGCCAATAAAATTGAAAAAATGAACGCAAAAAACCAACAACTAATAAAAAGCAACGTTACCAGGTCGTTCATTCCTCTAAAGAAAGAAGAAATAATAATACTGTCACTCGAAAGATACACACAATTTACTCATAAGAAAAAAAAGGAGGGAAGTGAACACGAACGACTGCTAATTCTAGCACATTTGCCCAAATTTCTATGGTCATTGCTGGTAATCTTATCAAAGTAACCAATCAGTTAATTAACCACAGTGGCATCTCCCGCAATATCATATTTAATCTTTGCCGTCTCTGTAATATGCATATATATGATGCAACAACAATGCTAGTGAAGCTGTGCATTTTCAAAAGAAAAATGCTTCTGCTTTTTAATTCTTAACACAAGTCATTATAATTATATATTATATTATATATAATTATATTCCAATTGCTTCTATCATATTGTTATACATGAAAACACTTAGTATCTTTTGCTCAATTTGTTTTTCGGCCTCAAAACTTACTATAAAACTTTCTTCGATAATTTTAATTCCCTTTTTACTTACATGGTGATGAGCCATGTTTGCCTTCTTATTCACAAATCCATACATTAAAACATTTTTGCAACTTACCAGGCTTTTTTAATGCGGGTTGTTGGAATGAACACATTTAGGCCCTTTTTCGTAATCAATATGAAAAATGTGCAGTTCTTTCATATAGGCAGCGTCCACATTATTTAAATCTAGTCAGTTCTATGCAAACTCAGGGATGACGCTGAAAATATGTGCGATACGCTCTCACTAGCATTCGCATAACTCCATTTATGATGTCTCAGTCATCTACTTTTTACCAAAGTATCAATTCTTCAATCACACATGCTTGGACTTTGTTAGCTTGCAAGAAAGCTTTCCATGAAACTATTTGCAGGTTCATGGAAGGCACATTTCCTCTCAAGCTTGCCCGCAAGCCACCTAATATCGCTGATATTGAAAAATAATTAAATATTACCGAAGAAATCCTTTGTTCTTTCCTTACCTGTCTGCTGCGAAACTGAATGCTAAAAAATATGCCACATTTGTGTAAGCTGGCCTGACAGTTCCTTAATATCGTTGACGTTCTAATATAATGAAATGCTTCTAGAACAAATTTTCTTGCTTACTTAAAAAACGATATCTACTTCTTTATGCCGGCAATTTTCTCTATGTTGGCTCTTTAAATATTTTTGATTAGGGTTGCCAAACATTCTCTTTTCCATAGTTCGCAAAACTTTTTTAGTACAAAGGCTTTATACACTATAAGACAAAATAATTTTCGTTTTCATTTTTTGCAAAATTTCAACTTTAAAACAAGAACGGTGTGGAACTAAGTGTAAGAGCTAAATAATTCATTTATTACCTCATCAATGCAATACGCTAATCATCGCGTTCCACCGCTGATGAGGCCGAATCGTACAGTGCTTGAAGCATTAATCACGATCTTTCGCACGCATAAATGATGCGTGTACGTCTTTTGAAAATTTAATTTTTTAGTGACAAACCCAATTTGTATTAATTTTCACAAGCTAACATTAATTATCATTATAATATTTATAATAATTTGCAGCGTTAACTAACAATAATTCATGGCACTATGCAATTTTAAAACAAAGTGGGTTTCGAAACTATAACGATAAGTGATTTATAATATAATCACTTGTTTGGTTAATACGGCTGAATATATTATATATATCATATATATTACATATATATATATATATATATATACATATTCCAAGTTGAAAATATATTTGATTGCATCCGTTGTATAATTGTTTAACAAAGCATCGATATGCTAAGTAAGTAGAAGAAAAACAGTCTAATATTTTATAACAAAATTGAAAAAATTTTTTAATTTAGAGCAAACTACATAAAAGGAGTAAAATGCAGCAATTGTTACATACAAGTGCCGAACAACCAATAATTAAATATCGCCCAACAATCGTAATCAGGGTTGATTGAACAAAAAAAAAAAATGGTTTAAATATTTTAGTGGTGAAACATCCGGAAAAAGTATTAGTTGGTTGAAGATGTTTAAAAAAATTTGTTAAATATACTGTTGAAAATGTAAAAAAAAGCAAGAAATTGCAATTTATTAAATAGTTTTTTATTCAAAAAGACAGAGATGAATGTATGATGATTAATTTCTGTTGAATTTGAAGCCGGCAGAGCATCCCGGTATGTTGGTATAAAAATCACATAGTTTCGTGTCAGGGTTGAAAGCTAAATTACGTCCGCAACTGTACAAACGAGGACGATCATTAACGCAGACAAAATAGCGTTTGCAGTTATCTGGATGTGGATAGAAACGCATTTCTTCTTCATTGTCATCTATATCTTCAGTACGACTAACGGCAGGGCATGTGAATCCCAAAAAAGCTTCGGCATTACATTCTTTTACCGTATCCGGCCAATCGCATTGATAGGTATCAATGTTAAAAGCTAATCCCTCCGGACATTTTGTAAGAGTAGCAATGCCGTGAGCGCAATTGTGATAAACACCACAATTCGCGGGATCACCCAAGGAATAGAAGCCAAATTGTCGAGGACATTCATCCGTACCATTGGCGGGTTGAAGACGCGTACGCTCCTTGCAAACGGATAAAGGAGCGTATGTGCAGTCGCCCGTAGTATGGGTGCGTTGATGAAATAGCAATCCGTCTGGGCAAAGTTTCTCCTCCCCTATCTTGTCGTGACATTCGACATAAGCATCACATTGTTCAGGTGCAGCGAAACGGCCATTAGGTTCAGGACAATCATAACCAAGAACTGTTGAAAAATAATATATAAGAAAAGATTTCAGCAAAGAAATTAAAAATAAATATTTTTTTTTAATGTGACCTGCACCTACGCATACGTGGACGATGGTGGTCAAGAAGGATCGTAGGTAGGGAGGCAGGAAAGAAGAAGCAGAAAACTTATTTGTTTAAACAAAAAACACGATTTGTTTTATATCATTTATTAAAAAAAATTTAATTTTAGTGATCAAAAAAAAAATGTATTTTTTTTTACAAGGACTAGAGAAGCAATAAAACATTTATGTAGATTTTTCTAAATTTATTAGTTAAAATAACAAGAAATTTATAACACAAACCCTAAAAAGAATTTTTTTTTTTAATTTATTTTTAAGTTAAAATTTTCTATTATATGATGATTTTTGCTGATTAGAAAATCCTGTCTTTTGTTGTGAGGCAAAAGCACTTTTCTGCGGTTTCGCAAAACCACTCCTTTGCGAACTGCTTTGCGCTTTGCTCGCTTGCAAACGCGCGTTTTTAATATCATTGCCTTTCTGCTTAACTCCCGCACTACAATTCGGTACATTTTCAATATCATCGCATTCATTGAGTTCTTGATTGAAGGCACGATCTTCACCGCATCCTATACGTCGAGGACGACCCTCCAAGCAAATAAAATAGTGTTGGCAGCTTTGGGGATCGGGATAGAAATGATATTCGGCTGCCGGCTCTCCTAATAAGGGAGATTTCGATTTGGCGGAAGAGCTTGCGGGCCCAGGACATTTAAAGCCCAAAAAGGCAGCAGCATCGCAATCCTCCACCATGTCGGGCCAATCACACTTGTAGGTGTTTTTATTCCACGCCAAATCATCGGGACAATCGAATACATAGCCACGGCCGTCAGCACAATTTTTAAACTGTCCACAATTTTTCGAATCACCTAGAGGAAAATAGCCGAATTGATGAGGACATTCTTCGGTAGGTTGAGCTGGCTGTATACGTCCTTGTCCCTGTTGACAGTCAACATCAATCGGATAACCACAAGGATAACCGGTGCTCTTTTCATTGTATAATAAACCATCAGGACATAGTTTTTCTTCAGCTACACCGTTGCGGCATTCAATGTAACCATCGCAAGATCCGGAAACGGGATACGTACCATTGGAGCTAGAACAAGAACTAGCAGCAAAAGCTGAAAGGTAACATAAAGTGAAAACAAAGTAAAAAGGAATATATTAATAATATTTAAAACCAAGCTTACCTAAGAATGAATCGGTATAATATATAAAAGAACATTACAGTCGGGCAAGGCCGACCGCAACATACCCTACAACACGTTGCCTACTACGATTTTTCACTCCAATATCAATTCCAATAACATAACAAAAATTATGCATTATTTTTATGCAAAGGCGCACTTTTCAAAAAAGCCCACATATCCTAAACATCACATGACGTGATACATATATAGCAAACTTAATTTACTTTCCAAAAATTGCTTTATTTTTCAGATTCCGTCATAAAAAACCAGAAAATAAATAATCTCCCCATATAAGTGCTTGTTTTTCATTAATAACCCTTCTAAATGTTAGGATGTAAAGAATAGACCTATGTGGCCGCTAGAGTTCGCTCAGTCAGTTTGCCAAATCTTTAATAAAAAATCTCAACATTTGCGACCTGTGAGTTGAACACAAAAATACATGCGAACGCATCAAAGGGACCGGCGGACAGACGGACGGACGGAGAGACAGAGAAACTTAGATGGATTCAGAATCATTTTCTGAATAAAAGACGGGTCTGTCCTAAGTTCTTGTAGGTTAGATCCGCACAAACTAAATCTACCCTGCACAAGTATTACAAGCATTACTCGTATTAGTTATTATAACATAATAGTATAATAGTTATATATAACAGCGGATGTATAGTAAGGTGCGCAAGAATACAAGATGCAAAATGCTTAGTAAAAATTTGAAGGAATTATTGCCATTGTAGGTGTTCGAAGTCTTAAAAGATGTTCAAAGACTGATTTTATGGATATGTCATGATTACACCGGCAACGACACCTCTCACATATATAAAACATATCCAGGATCGGGAGTGCGTTTATTCGTTTAAAATAAAGCAAACGGGCTCATTATACTCAGGCAAGATTGACAATTAAGTACCCTACACAGTTCTGCTTAGCACAATGCTTCACTTGTCTTCATCATCGAATAGCAAAAATTACATTAGTTACGATATAAATGCTTAGCTTTAAGTGAAACACTTACATGGGAGACGTCTCGAAACGCGTTGCAAATAAACTAAAGTTAGCTATGATTGAACTCGTAACACTCTTCATCTGCTTTTATTGTGAAATAATAAAAATTAAACCTGATTGTTAGAGAAAGGCTTACTTTTCAAAAGGGCACCCAAGAATGTAGCAACCATGCAGCTATGTGTGTCTATGCAAGTCTTAACCAATTTTAAGCGTAAAGCTCTAAATAAAAAACTTTATGTTTTCATATGAAAGCTTACGTTTTATAAGACCGTTTATATGGGAAAGAGCCCGGAAAATAGCCCCATCCAAGCCGAACTAGTCTTAATAAATAGTTTTTGTAGTGAAAAATTGTTATGTAAAGATTTCTTCAAACGGGACGTTACCTGCGAAGTGGTTATGAAAATGATCCGATCTTTGCGTCAAAACCAAATCAATTAATTAGTTTTTATATATTCTTGTTCTTCTTAATTAACTTTTATATCTTTAGTCGGTATTATCTTTGTGTACTGTAAGCTTCCGAAGCATATTTGCAAGTATGTTTCACGTTAAGATAAACATGAGAACCTATCGACGTTGAAGGGTAGAATGCCAACAAATTGAATAAACGTGACGAGCATTATGTGTAATCGCTTGTCAAATGTTCAAGTGCAATAACTGTTTAGTAAGTTAACAAATTAATTGACAGGATGGGATTATTAAAAAGAAAAATGTTTTACTAAATTCTATATGTGAATACAATTATACACACAGAGGTGCAAAAACTTGATTAACATAATTCCCATCATTAATAACACTGGAAAAGGTTTGCAAAATAATTTGAAATGAAATGAAAAAAAAAAAAAAACAATTAAAAACATTTCCTCGTCTCGATAGGAGAGAAAAAGCAACAGAAACAAGACGAGCAACAAAAATTAAACAACCAAGGAATTAAGCAACAAACTTGACCATAATATCAAAGCTTGACATAATGCTTAAATTTATATATATATATATATACATGTGTATGTGTGTATGTGCACAAGCAAGTTGGCAAGTAAGCCAACATCATCTCTACTTAATTATATAAAATAAAATTTCAAGGTCGTATAGCATCTTTATTGGTTATGTGCTTATCTGATCATTATTTATGTATCAGTATATAAATGGGTCGATCTGGTGCAACTTGTTTGTTTATTATTATTTATTTATTTATTTTTTTTTTTTTTTGTATATTTTTCTTTCATACATATTTTCTGATTTATTTATTATATACTTTTTGAATGAATAGTAAATTTAAATGTTAAAGTTATTCCGTAAAATATTTATATATGGACAAGTTTTTCTTGCTTCTCTCTTCGGACTGTTGTGGTAAATATTTCTCCCTTTTATATCATCACGCTATTATCAATTGAATGTATATTAATTTTGTCATCCTGTTTGCACCCAAATGTCATACGAATTTAAATTAATCTGAAAATGTCCAACCATCTCTCCATTCGTTTCGCAAAAACACACGTGATCAATAGAATGCAGAGTTTGCTTGCATATGTAGGTATGCATGCATTTATATAGAGGAAGATTAGAGGAAGGATGGAATGTAGAAAACTGAAATAAATCGCTAAGACAATTGAACTAATACTTGACACAATCATTTACTAGTTCCATGTGAAAATAATTCCGATTGACTGGCCTTAAATTTCCTTTGATTTTGCTTAAGGCGTGTAACTTAAGAGGAATGTAAACTTTTCACTTGCTTTCATATCTCTCTGGCATATAAAAATATGAAATTTTGGTTTAAAATTGAAAGTTTTTACGAAAATTCATTTAACATCATCAACTATAAAGAATCAACTAAGTTGCTTAGCCGGAATTATAATAATAATAAAAAAATCACTAACACAACCATTTTAATATATAAAACTGGCTCATACGTGAGCTTTGTTAAAGAATCTTATATATAGAAAAAAGTGATCTTTAACAGAAAAGTAATAAAAATTCTATTCGTCTATGATTGAATGCTTCGCTGATCTTTATAACTTCTATGCAAATAAACACAACAAACGAAATTAAAACGAGAGTATATTCTATCGAAAGCCCAGCAAGCATAGAAACAATGTCACATTGCTGTATATATATTCTGAAAATATAACGTAGCCGAAACGTAACAAGTTCAACGTTAGTTAATACATTGTAATGGGCTACTGAACTAGATCCTGGTTATTACGCCACTTTGAATCCCAGGATGATTGGCACTATGTTGGCAAGGGCGACGAGGCCTTTCAGGGCATCAACAGGTCGCCTTAAAGAGTAAGTAACTCTCTGGTCATAAACGATTTGCTGGTGAAATTATGAATGAAATGAATTGGTATTCAAAACACTGCTCCGCTCGCTCGCTGACGACAAAGAAGTCTTTGCGGTAAGGTGACTGGATCATTTTTTAACGAAGAGCTTTGCGCATCGTTTAGAATGTGTTCTACAACAAACCGCTGAATCTTAATTCGCAACAAACGATATTGATTCCCTTCCCTAGAAAGAGAATACCATCATTGAACAACGTCACTCCAAACGATGTTGCAGCCATTTGCACTTAAGGGATGAAGTATTTAGATGTCAAGTTTGGCAAAGCGCTAAGTTTGGACCCTTACCTGACCAGAAGTCGTTCTGTCTGTATCTGCCTACTCTTTGGTACAAGTCCGGAGTATAAACCCTAGAACAAAATGCCTATACCATCCTGCACAACTCCGGCTTGGCTGTCAAACAAAATTGTACTTGAATGTCTCTTTAAAGACTTGACGGTTTAGCCAATAGTGCAGACCAAGAAAGGCGGCAAGTTGAAAACTTTTTTTCTATATCAAAAGATCGATAACGTGAAGGGCATAAAATCAGTTGACAACGCAAAGCACAGCGCAGCAACAGCATGCAGAGAGATTTATAAAATGTAGCAGTCCATGACATAAGCTATTGGAAGCCTAAAGGAGCGTTTTACGCTTTCTAGTGCTTTTTGCAGCGATCATAACCTCAGCGGACTTTTCCTAGATGACGTGGATTTCTTAGGTACAAATTTGTGCAGAGTCTGCGAGGAAAGGGCTAAATGCCTTTGTCTAGATTTATGTGTAGAAATTGCTTAGCGAGCGGTTCGCTTGACGGAAAAAGTGACTTAATGGAAACCGGGAGGGTTTTCTAATCACGTTCAAATTCTCTTTCACAAATTCACATCTTTTGGTACATGGTAGCGCAATAAAAGACGAAGGAAGGAACAAAGCAAAAGACGAACTGTCTTAAGAAAGAAAAGGATATTTGCTACCCTCTAGTACTATTTTATACATTTAATTATGCTTTTCGATCTGGTTACATTGCCATCTTTAACTTCCGATAAGCGAGCTTTTGATATTCTGCGATTCACCCAATGGGATAATAAAAATAGAAATTGTTCCGATGTTCTTATGGTGGCTAGGAAGATGATCAAGTTTTAGAATTTTATATATATAAATGAGTTTGTGGGAGAAATTCTTGTGTCGACTAAAGTCAAGAGAGATGTAAAGGTAAATATTTACTTATGCGATCCGATAGAACTATGTCCCGAAACATTAAGTGCTAAGAAATTTTGGATCTATTCATGTAAATTCCTACAGGGACTATTGCATGTGTCTGTTGTCCTGGCTGACCTAAACTCTGCCCGTATCTGAAATATATTACGCGCGCACTGGGGCTTTCAATGACATTATCTTTGTTTAGCAGTGAAAATTCAATAAGCTTTGGATAAAACTTGAAGATAACTCAATTTCCAAAAACTTAGTTGAGGAAGGAGGAGGTCTGTAGGTTTCCTGTTCTCAGGGGCCGCGTTGACGAGTTAATGACGAGATGAGCGTTCAGTTCTCAGATAGAAATTGAGGCCGCAATATCTTAAGCTCTTGAATTAAGCTAAACTGACTTTTTTCAACATTTCATTACTGTATTCAAACTTACACGTATCCCTTGCGGAATTCCATTGTCCAAAACATTTCTCGCTTTCATTAAAAGGTGAATAGGTCCGATCGTTCCTAACTTCTACTTTACTATAGTCGATGATCGATTTTGGTGGAATGTTTTCACCAGTAAATCTTCTTAATAAAATTTGATCTTTTATGCTTTGCGATTAGTGACGCCTCAATCAATAATTCCCGGGAATGACAATTTATGAAAAATCCGTATTTATTTTTAAATAACGCCTGTTAAAGTTTCAGACCATTTCGATTAGTTCCTTACGATTTACTACAATGTTTCGGTTAAACATTGCTTTTTATTGCGAAAATAAATCGTTCGACCTTAGCACTGGGTTGAAAAAGTGTTATGACAATGTGGGGAACAACAGATTTGTCAACGGTTTGGTGACTTTCAAAAAAGATCGATTCTGAATGAAGTGAACGCCCACATCGGAAAATATCAAAGAGGTTTTGAAAACTATTCTCGATAATCGAAATGAAATAACAAATGATAGTTGACAGCTTAGAGATATCAACGGACAATATATCCGATATATTGCATTAAAATTTGGGCTTGAGAAAGAAAGGCCTTTTATGCCTCATTCACTAAAAGAGGAATAAAAGCATTAACGAGCTGCTTAGCAGCAATAGGAAGGATATATGACCCATGAGCTGAATCGGCGGGTGGAACACTATTTAAAGTAATCGAAAGCGTAACAGTGGCTAGACGATGTATTGTCGTTTGCATTGTATTCAAATCATCGGCTCCTTTGAGAAAAAAGAAGAACCATGAATAGTGATTATCGTAGTAAACTTTGATTCAATTAAAGCATGAAATTGCTGAAAAAAACATCAAACGGTGAGGGGAAACGTGTTCTTTCATCAAGATAATGACAGCAGTCTGTCAGAGGCCGATGATTGCGAAAACAAAGTTGTCTGAATTTAATTTCGGATTGTCCCCATGTCCACCAAATCTTCCGCTTTTGCTTCCTAGCGTTTAGCATATGCTCGCAATGCTGAAAAGAATGCTCCAACGAAAAAGATTTAGACTAAACGATGAGATCATAGTGCAATATTCTAAAAAAAAGGACCGAAACGTTTGGGAAATGTTGTACTGACTAATTGTATTAGTCTTGTCTTTTGCACGAGGTTTTGTTGATGAACAAACTCAAATGTTGCAAAAAAAGAAGCCGTTCAACAAGTTACGGGAATCATTGACGCATGTAGAAGGTATGAGTGAAGAGTAAGCAAAAGTAAACGTCGGCATGCCTTACGATCATCATACCGCATAATTACACGTACATTATAGTCACTATAGAGTGAAATAAATAAAAGATTTGATCCATGATTAAGATTTTCGCCATTATTCCCAATATTGACTCATCCAACGTCACTTTAAAGGCTTTTAAATCTATTTCAAAACTTGTACACTTAACATTAGTTAACTCAGCGAACGCTTGAAGATTATTTTCTAAATATTTGTTTAATATTTTAAAATGCATTTGTTTGACAAGCCCAAGGTAAATAATTTATGCAAAGCAAATTTTTTGCTTAAGCCTTTTACTAATAACAGCACGGAATGTCATTTCAAATGTTTTCGTTTTCTTTTTAAAGAAAATTTTTTCTTTTTATAAAATTTTTCATTTTTCACAAAATTTTTATTGTAAAACAAAAAATAAAAAAGAAAAGAGAATTCGAATTTTTCTCTTAAAATTTTTTAATATAAAAAAAAAGAAGATATTTTTAAATAGTACTAACCCGTTGACCCAAACAAGGCTAAACACGTAAAAGCACTTAATAATATTTTCAACATATTTACTTATATTATTTGAAATAGAAAAGAATTTTATTCTTAATTTCTTTTAAAAATTATTTTCAATAATTCATTCGATTATTTTGTAATTCTGAATAAAAGCGTTGTTTCTAGCACGAGCTTTAGTTAGCAACTGCTCTACGAAACAAAGCGAAAATAATATTTTTAAATATAAAAAAAATAAATTGAAGATGCCGCGCAATAAAATTCACAGGGAATACTTGTTTAGCTCAAAAAAATCTTCAGCTTTTTTATTTAATCGTAACGTAATGCAAAAAAAAAAAGCTTTTTTTCCATTTGAATTTCGTCGGCTCTATAAAGGAAATAAAGTTGAAAATTAATGAAAAAAGCCTATCATTATAGTAATAAACTTTTAATAAATTAATTTTTATTTTCAATAAGCAAGTCTTCCCATCAAAATGTCAAAAAATTTATAATATTCCTATGTTTAATAAATCATCCTTTATAGAGCATTAACTATTAATTACTTTTAACAGACTTTCGGTTAATCAATTCCGTAATGCGTAATACTTGAGCAATCAAGTTTCCAGGGTCACTCTCTCAACACTCATTAGAATATTTATAAACAGACACTTAATCCCGATCCCCGATTGCGAACATTCGAGGCAGTTATGGACTGACGGATCCATAAGGGTTATGTTTCTGCTGAAAATATCTCAAAGGATCAATGCAGTGTCATGCAGGTTCATTATCGTAATGGAAAAAGCAAGGGCTGTCGGCCTGCAATTTTAGCGAACTGCTTCATGTAGACGACTCATAATGTTCATTCTTCGACAAAAGAAATTCACTCAAAGAAATTCACAACGTATTACGATAATCGAAGGAAGCTTACATCTTATTACTTTTTATACCCTGCAAGCAAAAGTGTAGTAAGTTTTTGCAGATCTACGAAGCATCCAGGAGGACCTGAGGTAGATCTATATTCACTTATTAGGTTGAAACATGTTCGTCCGTCTGTTTGCGTGATATCTTGATTACGCATTCTTTTTTCAACTTACAGGCCACAGGACGAACGCAATTAAAAATAGTTTAGATCGGACGACCTTTTTCTTAAGGAATGTCACTAGAAGGAAAACAATTGAAAACACTATAATGGGCCATTGTCCACCATTACATACCCTACAACAATCTACAGTTATTCATGCAATGACTTTTCCAAATAAGATTCTATATGAGAAAGAATAGTTTTTATAACCGCTCGTCCTTGTGCCAAAATATGTAAATGTAGGCAGACGGACGGATGGACAAGCTTAAATTGATTCAGAAAGTAATTCTGAATCGAAATGTATAATAAAAGGTGAGTCTATCTCGAGTTCTTCTGGGTGTTGCGTACATCCGCAGAAATCTAATAAATCCTTACACAATAAGTGGGGTCCGAGATAAGAACTTGCTGGGAACCTAGAGTCCAAGTTATTTCGGGGGGTTGGTTTCTAACTATCCTAAAATGCGCAAGTTTTTGTATTCATTTATATAAAAGCGTTTTTAACTACAGATATGCATAGCAACAATTCACAGAAGGAGTCCGTGATCCTGTTAGGAAACAAAAAATGTTATAAATTGTCTTGGCCTTTTCGCAGGTATATTGCAACATGGGATGCGTACAAATGCAATTCTGTGACGACTTCTATAAATTCCTCGAGGAAAGAGCCTAAGGAAGAATATTGAAACAGGGCAGCGCAGTCTTACGGTCCTGAGTTCATTTGTTAAAAATAACATGTCTATTACACAATGTCAGGACTTTAAACGCGTTCTTGTCGAACAACAACACCATCGACTGACAAAGTTATATTAATTTTATTAAAACATTTGCAATATCCGGAAGGAAACACCGGAATACCCATAAAGTCCTTGATTAGTATCAAATATTGAATTGACTTAATCACGTCCGTCTACACCTCTGCGCAAAGTCGTTTGTGAACATTCTCCTTGCCGGCAAATCGGTTTCAAATTTGACAAAGTTATTAAAAATTCTTGCACGCTGATTAGTAGTGAAAATGGCTTAAGTCGATTAAAGAACAGTACCCACGTTTTCTATGTACTTTCTTCATACTTATAAGTTGCAATAAAGATATGATAAAAATTTCCATGTATACTTTATAAAATGGAGAAAATCAACCACGCCTACCCAATACTAAAGTGTACTAACTAAATGAAAATTTGCATCAGTTACAGCGCACGCCTCAGATCCCCTTGAATTAAAGATGATCGCGAGAAGCTTAACCAAAAGCTCAATGACCTAATCCAATCTATCTATCTATTCAGTTTCTCTTTTTTAAGCTATAACAGTAGGTTTTCTATTAGAGCTTCTGAAGGAGAATCGTAGTTAAAGTATCTCGTCCCGATAATTTTCGTTATTGTCTTTCAATTATGATTATATTTAAAAAATATTACCTGTAAAATTTTAGCTTTTTCGATTTTCGCTCGAGAAGAAAGATTTTGAAATAAAAAATGAAGTACATTTTATTACGAAAATCGGTTAAAAGCACTCTTTCCACAACTTACGGAAAATGTGACGAGAATTACATTAAGCGTTACCATGTTGCTGTACCTCGTCACATGCATGCAATTTTAAAAAGGTTTTCTTAAACGTTACTTAGAACTAAACAAAGAAAAAAAAAAAAAAAAAAACTCCATTTGCTATTCCCGGTAGTTCTTGATCGCATTTCGAATAATACACTTATTTACTTGTCTTGAATTTTTTTAAATTTATTTCAAGTGATTTATGTTGTTGTCTTGAAAATTTAAATATTATTGAAAAACGAAGCAAAACTTTTTATTCACGTATTTGGCTTGGGCTGGACTTTTGATTTCCGATACTTCGAAACAGTACATAAAGATTGTAAAATATATTCCTAATAATGATCGTTTAGATAGATGGCTCTTGGAATTATATGTTTACGCAATGTTTCAATGCAATATCTCTTATGTATATATACGATGATCAAATAAGAGCTTTTTTGTTTTAAACGTCGAATCGTGACATCATCAGTTTATTCAGACAAAAGTTCAATGAACGTGTAATCCACAGAGAGGCCCACAAAGATCATGCGATATAACTTCGTTGGATCTATTATTTGGGGCTATGCTAAGCCATTGGTTTCCCTCCAAGCTCTCGTTAAACTTCCTTTCCAAGATTATTCGCGTTACTAGTAAATCAAGCAAAAATATTATAGTCGGGCAAGGCCGACAATTAGATACCCTACCTCACTTCGCATAATGCAGTTATTCACTCGTCTTGGTTATAACACACTAAAAATTACACATTGATTTCATGCAAAGGCATACTTTTCATGATAGCCTATCTATTGCGGTGGTGTCCAAAACGTAGACTTAGGTGGTCCAAATTCGGTAAGGTTGATTTCTACGTCAATTTACTGTTATGAACTAATTCTCACCATGAAATACTAAAAATTGTACCTTTTTACTATATGAAGATAACGTTTGCGTAGCAACGGTTGAGAGTTCAAAATATTGCCCCAGCCGAACAAAATTTTTCATACCAGTTTAGAACGCCCGAATACTGTTACGGAGCGTTTATGTTGCGAGAATTTGAAAATAGCAATTTTTTTCAGTGGACCGATGTAAACCATTTAGAAGAGCATTCCCTTGGGCGGAAACATGTCGCTGTGGCAAATTTCATCAAGATATCCTTAAAATTGCGACCTGAATAAAAACTTACACGGACAGATATCAGACGTATAGATAAACAAACAGACAGATAGACACTACAGGGGGTGCGGCTCAGCATTGCGTACCCTACACCAGCTTGCAGTTAATCACGAACGAAGTAGGGCTTCTTATGAAAAGGAAGCAAAAAAGTTGTCCAATCGATGTAAAAAGTTCCATTGAAATATCTCAAAAATTGTGGCCTGTAGGTGACACAAACGCAGACGAGACAAGTGTTGCATACATCCGCACAAAGATAATACACCCTTGCATCACATATGATGTAGGGTATAATAAAATGGCATGACCCAATAACTGAAATAAAAATAAAAAAAATTATATTGATATTTTTTCCGGTTTTATTTGAAATTAAATACAGAAGCTGTAGATTAGGTATTGGCAACCGTCGGCCCGTAATGTTGTCAAGTCTAGTCCCGTATCTTGCAGAAAATTCAATTTGTTCGCACATAGGAATGCTGCAAATGAATTGTTCCTACGTTCACTACCGGCTCAGCTCAGCATTTTTAATAATAGTCGGTTCTCGTTTAGGCCCCCGCTGAATTTCATGAATATCAAAATTTGCCCACTGAGGAAAAAAGTTGCTCACCCTTCTTCCAAATCATAAGCTCAAACGAATGGAAGGCCATTCCGACAAATGTTTGCGTCAAGTTTGAAATTATTATTTACGATACATTGCGGATTCAAACTTCTATCAGTTGTCGGCTTAGTTCTTGCTGGACTACATCCATTCACAAACTTGATCTGGCCTCCCACTCTAAATAGAAGTAAGCTAACTTTCATCTCCCTATCTCAATTTTTACGAACGTAAGCATTCTCATAACAAACAATAGAGATGTGGAACATAGAACGAAAGCAACGCAAATCGTCGCAAACCGACATAGAATTTTACCCGCATTATTGATGAAAATTCTGATCCGTATTTCTAGATTTTACAAACGAACAGGCGAGTCTACTATACTTGGAGTTTGATATAAACGAATTTAAATTGAAATTGTTCTCTTCATGTTGCGACATGATTATCTCATTGTTATCTCATCGTCATATTTCTTTTTTAGAACGCGGCACCAAGCCTTTTTCTTGTTCTTCTATACTGAAAATTTCATATTTTTGCTCTTTTTATTCTTTATTTTGCAATGATTAACCGCCTAACGTGTTTAAAATGTTTAATCTTGCGATGTATATATATATATATATATATATGTATATGTGTAAAGCTAATATGGACTCTTTATTAAATGCATATTTTTCATACGAACTGCATAAGATAGTAGACATTTTCTTTGTCTTTGCCCGAGAACGTCTAAATCTCATTGCTTTCGTAAAAATGTTTGGTGTTAAAAAAAAAAAACATTAAGTTTCTTGTAAATTGGAACTGGAGCTCAATCATGAATGTATGTAAAATTTGTTTTTGGGAAGAAAGATAAAAGCAGGAAATCTGGTAAACAAGCTTAACGGAAGCAGGGGACATTTCTTTGTCCTTGCAAACAACAAGTAAGTAT